ATAGTAGTATCTCATTGTGGTTTTAATTTGCATTTTTTAAATAGCTAATGATGTTGTCATATACTTATTTGCCATCCTTATATCCTTTTGGTGAAGTGTTTTTTCAAGTCTGCCCACTTTTAAATTGAGTTTTCTTACTGTGGAGTTTTGAGTCTTTATATATTCTACATACAAGTCCTTCGTTCGCAGTTATTCCCTTAACAGTATCTTCCACAGAGCAAAAAGTTTTGAATTTTGATTAAGTTCAATCTTTTTTTTCTTTTCTAGATAATGCTTTTGGGGTCAGGTCTGAGAACTCTTTGCCTAACCCCAGGTCATGAAAATTCTCTTCTGTGTTTTCTTCTAAAAGTTTTATAGTTTTATGTTTTACATCCTAATCTATGGCCCATTTTGGGTTATTTTTTTTATATAAAATAGATGGTTTAAAATGGTGAGATTTTTAGGTTTTTACATGCTTCCAACTTACCTTTTCATGATTGTTTTACTCTAGTTTTCTTGCCTTTCCATAAATTTTAGAATTATTTTATCAACAAAAGATACTGCTAGGATTTTGGTTAAATGTGTAGCTCATTATGGGGCCTGATGGGTATTTCAGTGGGATTGCTTGTTCGCTCTCATGTGCCATAGCCTTTAATAACACAAGGCAGCCTGCTCCTTCCTTTGTTGCGCTATGATTATTCCAGAGTTAAAAGCCAAGCTTATGACTGATTACATTGGTGTCTTTTGAAGTTTGGCAGTAAATGAGGTGTGGTCTACATCACATTGGATAGGACTTGTGGGCCAGTCCATGATCTGGGTCTGGTAAGCCACTGTCATTCACAGCCTTGCCTCCTTGAGTCTCACTCTGAGCAGGTTGTGAGCAAGACTGTGTGCCACTTACCAGCCATTAGAAATTCTCCTTGCTTTGGGGTCTTTACTCCCCTGCCACAGGGTCACAGAACTGTTGTGTGTTCGGCATGATCAGATTTTTTTCTCTAGATTTTCTTTAATTTCTTCTGCCTGGCATTGCAGCCCCACTCATACTTATTTCTCCAAAAATTACATTAGAAATACATTCATGACACAGTGAATTCCTTCCTCCCTTCTGCTATAGCAATGTCACCCATGACATCAGGGCTTCTCATACTCGTTGACCCCTCTCCCCTTCATTCTACAATGACGTCTTCCCCAGGTCTGGTCTGTCTGGGGCAGTAGTACAGCCTTCCAGCTTTTGTTCTCATCCTGTGTACTCCTGCCCATTACTGCCCTTCCATCCCTCCCCTGACTTGGGGATAAAAGAAAAACTGCTTTCTACTCTCCAAACTAGACAAGAA